CAATTTAAAATAACAAAGTTCATAAATTTAAAGACAGAAGAACTGGACAGCTCAAGAGGCCAGGAAGCATGACTAAGCATGTGAAGAGCCTCTCCTGTAAGTCCTCAATGTTAACCTGATCATCAAGGCAGTGATATAAAGACATGAAATGAAGGTTCAGTGCTGGGGGACAGTGTGATCGACACCTTCACCTGCTATCTAATCAAAGGACTTTCACCTTTCCATGACTAACATGCACTTATACGCGTCCCCATTGCATACAACATGCTTGCGGACCTTCTAGCCCAACTCTACCCTCCACCTGGCAATAACCATCCTGTCTGCCTCACAGTTGGCCATTTTCTTCACAATACATTTCAGAATTCAGTTTGCACGAGACAACATACATTTGGGTGATCAGCCACAACACTCCACTTCGTATATGGCAGGGTACTCCTCCAGCATCCGTTTAGGTAACCGTAATCCAGAGAATGCAAAAGCAGTGTTGATGGATTGCAATAAGCAACAACACATTCAGCAAGACGGACATCTTAAAGAGTAGACTAGGAAATGTCAACCAATAAAATACTTGAATACTTCTACAACTTGCTGCTGAGAAGAAGCACTATTAAACCCACACAGCTCCACGTGCTCTTGGAAACAGTTATCCTCCAATCAAGCCACTCGGGTAAAATTGTTCTTACAGAGAAACACGGCTATAGCCAAGTTTGATGTTTTCCATTCATTTTAAATTTGGTTCATCTGAAGTCTTGTTTTAAACCTCCCAAAGCTCTTGCTCTCTGCAAACTTCATTTGAAGGTTTGAGGACAAACCTATTAAATCTGGGATGGACATCTGTGGATCTCTATGACAAGCAGATTTCTTCATCATCCCTAACGTTCCTGTTAATCTCTAAACTGGTTGCAGAATGGGTATTTTACTTTACAGGTTAACTTGGTCTTTCCAAGGGCCCACACTAGAACTCAGACAGACTACGGAAATTTTCTGTGCCAAGACTTCAGAGGGTTGCATGCACTTTTTATAGCCCTGCTGCTCCATTTACCTTGGTCTGCTGTCAAAGTCTGAGATCTGAAACACTGGTACATTAGTCCCTGAGTGAACTCATCCACTTAATCCCAGAGACCTGTAGAGGTCACATTCCCCTATCATTTTCTACATCCAAGACTCTCTGCTTAAGGGCTGGAGCCCTGACATTTCTCACTTTTCTCCCCCTTTTTCTCCTAATTCACCTTCACCACACTTCTAGCCACATCTCATCATGTTTTTTACTGCCAGGACTCTGCTCAGAACTTGTCAAAAGCGTTTCAGCAGCAGCCAGAAGACATTCAAGACGTTTTCCAAAGCAGAGAATTAAGACTACATACGATGTCAAACAGTTCTCATGTAATGTCTCCAAACAAAGTTCAAGACTTAGCTCCAGCCAAGAACATCCAGAATTTGTGATGGCCAAGAAAACAGTTCTTATACAGTGCTCCTGATGGATCTGATTAAATGGAAAAGTATGGAGACAATGGAAGATCACAGTTAAACAGGAGAAATTGCAAGGAAAACAAAGGGGGGGTGTCTAATTAACAGATGAAAAGGAGAGATGAAATGGTGGAGAGAGAAA